TTCAATCCCCAGCATTAACAAAACAAACAAATAAATTTCAGACATAAATCTAACAAAATGAGTGAATTATCTATATACTGAAAAATTCAAAACAACAATGAAAAATACTGAGGTGTCCTAAAGACATGCAACAACACATTGTATTTATGGATTAGTCTGTTCAATATTGTTATGGTATTAATTCTCTACAAACTAATCTGTGAGATTAAAAACTCTCAATTAAATTTTGGCAGAATTTCCTGCTATATCAATATGTTACTTCAAAGATTAATATAAAAAGTCAAAGGAAACAGAATAACCAAAACAATTCTGAACAAGAACAAAACTGAAGGATTCACACTATCTAACAACTTATACTAAAGGACAGTGTTGCACTGTCCAAAGGCCACATATGTATGGTCAAGTGATTTTTTTTAAATTTTGTAATGCAGTGTAGAAAGATCTGTCTTTTTAACAAATAGTTCTGAAATATAGACATCCATATACAAAATAGAATAAAATAAAATAAAATAAACCTTAACACATACTTTTTACTTTGTATGAAAATCATCAGCTCCATCAGAATGAATCATGAGCCTATATGTAAAACCCAAAACTATAAAACTTCCAGGGGGGAAAAAAAGAAGAAAGTGTTTGTAATTTTGAGTTAGGCAAAGATTTTTTGGATGATACAAAAAACATTATTTACAAAAGAAAAAAAATCAATAATTTGAACTTCCTCAAAATTAAATGGTAAATAAACTTTTGAATTATTTCAAACAGAAGTTTAAAGCCTTTGGCATATATTTCCAGAAGGTATACATTCAGGAGTTAGTGGAAATTAAATGCATATACTACTGAAAATCACTGAGTGCATGATTCAGATAAACTGAATAATGGTTTTGACTACTACAGTTTAAATCGCACTTATTCTTAACTGAGTATTATTTCATTTATACACATAAAGGACAACTAATAAGAGGCAGAATATACAAGGAATACTAATTTGAAAAGCATAAAATAGTGAGTAATTCTGTAAATTCGCCTCAAGATGATATCCATTAGTTCCATAAGCTGTACTCCATATGATTACAATTCTTCCACAGCACTGAAATGTGCCTTCAGTATTTCAGAGGCCAAATTTTTAAAAGGCAATGAAAATAATTAGCTACAAATAAATCCATCTGGTTTTAATCTGAGGTATTAAACTATCCATACCACAACATATTATTTATAAAGAAGTACTTATAAATGACAGCTGAAAAACTATTTCATCTTTTTAAAAATAAAAATGCACAAACTATGTAGATAAGCCAGTTAATTTTTAAGAGAAGTGAAAAAAGCAACGTTAAGTCATAATATTTAAATAATTTTATCTATTGTTGGCAGAAGCTAGATTCTAATCTTCATTTAACATATATTCAATCTAAAACCATGCATCGGTTAATACATATTTTTGAGCAACATGTGACTACCCTAAATACTAGAACAAGAGCAGTGAATGTGACAAATAAGGTTTCTACCCTCACAGAGCTTAATATTCAAGCAAATGGTAGCTACAGAATGAGTAAATAAGGAAATACCAAGTAAACAGGGTTTCATAAGTGCTTTATGAAAATTAAAGTATTGTACATGATAACTTTGGGGTAGGGGTAAGTTTAGATTTATAGAAGGCAGGCCTCCCTCTGGTTAATATCTTCTCTAAAATGACAGTAACAATATAACAAGATTTGTGATATGTCCCTTCCAACGAAAAAAAATAATAGAAAGCTTTAAGACAGGAATAAACTTGGTGTGTTTGTGAACATAAGAAACCAGAGAGAGTAATAGGAAATAACAGCAGAGATGAAAAAGACTATATCTGTTTAGAAACATTTTATGTAAGTCAAAGAAAAGCTACTAGAGATTTATATGAGGGAATTTGGTATGACGTGACTTTTTAAAAATTACTCTGGATATTCTGTAAAGAAAAAAAAATTGTAATGGAACAAGACCGGAAGCAGAGAGACCAGTTAGGCAGGTATTGAAGTAATACAAATAAGAGAGAGATGGTACTAGCGACTTAGACTAGTTGAAATAAAGAAAAAAAAATGAATGAATTTAGAAAATATTTTAAGGTAGAATCAACAAAACTTTCCATGGTCAAAAGACAAATTCTAAAAGAGCTTCCTGATAAGTTTTGTGATCTTTATTAATATTCAGTTTCTAATTGTGCTCATAATTGTATGTTGGGGGTTATTTAGATCCTAGCTAAATTTAAGCATGTGTAGCTACTAAAATGCTACACTCTGGTTTATATAATCTTTTGGGAGAGGGTGGCCGCACTGGGTTGAACCCAAGTAAAGTCTACCACTGAGCTACATCCATAGCCCTTGTTATTATTTTGAGATAGGGTCACACTAAGTTGCCCATGCTAGCCTTGAATTTGTAATCCTGCAGCCTCAGCTCCCTCTGTGTGTGCCATGATGTCTGGAACCACCACCATCTTTGATGATTATTTATTTCATGTACTCCCAGGAAATTCAGGTACAATAAGTACCATTTCTAAAGGAGTTAGTCAAATGACAAGAGAACTTGAATGAACCTAAAATAGAAAAAAACTGGAAAAATTAAACTCTTATTGTTCATAAACATACATAAAAATTTTGAATACAACTAAATTATCAAGCTAACAGATTTAAGCTAAACTGCAAGAAACAATATCAGTAATCTTTTAAAGCAAGTTTACTAGAAAGCCTTGATTAACTGTCAACAGGCAATAGTATTTGATAATCCAAAAACCAATTATATTTCTAGATATGAATTTCACTATTATGATTTTACAACAAAATTTTCAACTTACATTTCACTTTAAATTAGAAAAAAAAAATCCTTAGCACCTTGGAGGTCCAGAAATTTTGTGGAAAGAAAAAAAAAATCTGCCATAAAACCATTACAGATAATCCACCAAGTAATAATCCTTTGGAAGACAACCCTAATTTCAGTATGTTCTCAACCCAGACCAAAATTTCTTAGAAGTCTCATAAAAAGCACCAATTGGAGAGAATTTTAGTAAGAGAAATCAAAGTTTATAATTTTAAATAATAAAAATATTTTATATTACAAAGAATCAAAAATTTTTTCTTTTTGATTAAATTTTGTTAGCATAATCAAATAAATCCAGTAAGAACAATGAGCTGAATTATACTGTTGAATATAATGCCATGAATTCTAATTATCAGTCTATAATTTCATTTAAACACCATTCATTATGAATTAAGGAAGCAATTAATTGTTCTGAAATTGTACTACTAAAAATAAAAGGCCTTGCTCTTGTCTCTAGAATGTTTCCAGAAGTGGCTTAATCTATATTTTTAGGATTCAAAAATCACTCATATTTTATGAGTTTAGCATTAATTAAACATAATTTAATCCACTGGACATCATGAAAAGTACAAAACTATCATGTCTCAAAACCAGTATGTACATAGTAAGATAATTAACAAAAAACAATTATTGAGTTGGTTCAGACACTTTAGTAATCAAGCCTTGACTAGTTACCATATAGGTCACATATTCCAAATAATTTTTGAAATATTTGTAAAAGAAAAATTTTAAATGTGTTAATCTAGTCCTTCTACCTTCAGCATTAAAACTGATAATATAGGTGGAAATCACTTTCTATGAAGAATGAATATTAAAGACCAAATCTGATTTGCCACCCCTAAAATACTCCTCCAGATTTTTATTGTGATTTATACTCTAGGATGCATATACAGTCCATGGAAAATATTCTATCCAAATCTACCCCAGAACATTAAATTTACCCTTCTCGTTGTAATCTTGATAAACACAGTGCATTTTCATGTATAAAAGCAAAACTAGAATAAAAAAAATCACATGGAAAACACATTCACCTGCAAGCTAAAAAAACATCAAAGATCACCAGCAGCATTTTGAAGTAGAGTCCTATCTTAAATTACTTTCACACTTAAGACTTAAATGTGATAAATAGCTTACCCATAATAACAGAAAAAAAAAGATGAGGGAAAATACAAATCTTTTTAGCAAAATATGAATGTACTTTTTAAATTAAAATATGAGGGAACTCAAATTTTCTAACATTATATAAAAATGAAAAATACAATTAAAACAACAAAAGGAGAATGAGTTCACAATGGTACCGTTTTATTCCTCAAAAAAAAAAATATATGGTGTTTTTTCAAAATTTCTTTGTGCCTTATAAGGAGAAATCTCAATTTATAGCCAAAAGCACTGCAGTAATTGGCATGACCAGGGTACAGTGTACTTTGTATTCAATTATGTTTATAAGCAAGAACTTCTTCCACTTTGAAAACTATGCCTAAAAAGGAATTCTCTTTGAAGACTAAAGGAATTTAATTAAAGATAAAGCCACTTGGGTGGCCACATAGCACATCAAACAGATCATACTTCAAGCAGAATTATTACCATTCAGTTACAAGTGCATGACTCATAGGAATATAAATGAAGTGTACTTTTCTGTATACATCAATTTGGTTGCAGGAATTTACATCTAAAAGTACACTATCGCATTTGCTCAGTTAATACATCTGGGCTTCAATTTAATTTCAGGTGGCAAACACTGATTAATAACCTACTACCAAGTACATTACTTTAATTACTAAAAAATAACATCCTTGAGAATTCTTGGTCTTATAGGGCTGGAAAAAGCCTCAATATTACAAATAAAAAAAAAATTCATAAACAACTTTATCAAAGCTTAAATATTATAAATGAATGAATTTCCACAACCATACAGAAATGTTTCTATGAACCTAAAAGTAACATTAAATATTTTAAAACATCTCCATTATAAATTATCTTCAGTTTTCATTACAGGTTGTCTATGGGAAAGAATATTACCATTTTTATTAACATTTTCTGGGTATTTATTTATCCTACACAATTAAAGTATAAGGAGCGTACTTCATTGAAACATCCACTCAAGACGCCATTTTAAAAACAGTAGAAATCTTTTGGAAATGATATACCTTCCTTACCTTTCTAAGTTTAACAAAGTAATATAGGATTGTATTATGTCACAGGATTATTATTATGTACAATTTTCCATTATAATACTGCAAAGCAATAATAACTATAGGCAGAGATAAAAATGATGTGCTTTAAAGTCAATAACTGCTTGCTAATTCCCCACTAGCTGACACTTGTATTGTAAGCAGCTCCATTCCTTGCTGTTTATAACTTGATGAACCAAATCAATAAACAATCCTAAATACAAGTCCAAACCTGAAGATAGCAGCTTCTTGCCTCCTTCGACTAACATCTGATACAATACAAATTTAAAGAACATGAACAAGAAATAACTGAATACGTGAAAGATCATGAAAACAGAACTACACGTTACATATAAGATTTTTGTGCAGATCTATAGCAGTAAAGGATGCAACATATAAAAACAGGTGGACTGTCAATAATCTGAATAATAAAACAGGAAACTTTAGACACTAGGCATCCTTTTTGCCAAACCAAAGGCTACAGTAAACTAGAATGCTCAGAGTGAAATCTTTAGTTCCATAGAAGACAGACAAATGAGTAAATGAAAAGAAATAATCCCAGTTATGTTAAATGGCAGCAAAACTGGATAAAGCACTTGAATACAGCAATTGGACAATGAAAAGCTACTAGACCTTTTAATAGATAACTGTGATTATCTATTAAATCACACTGAGATCAGTGAGGCCCCACCTGAAGGAACTCAAATCAATCAGTCAAGTATTATATTACTAACAATGTACTCTTAAATTGAGTAAGTCAAAAAAGCAAACAACTTCTTGACTTTTCATAAATTAAAGGTAAATATGGTATATATTGTGCATCCACAGTGATTTGCAGCATGTCCAATATGAAATACCTTTTTTTTCTCAAACACCTTATAAGTTATGAAATAAAATAGATATCCCACACTGACATAAGTGAAAAGAGAAAAGATTTAAATGAAAATTAAAGAAAGGTTTTTCCTTTTTAAAGCTAATACTGGGTGATAAACAAAGATGTAATAAGAGGCATGCTCATACCACTGTAAGCGTATATCTATACAACATTCTGGAAAGTAATTTGGTGATGTTACAAGAGTCTTAAAAATAAGAACAACAACAAAAGACTGTCTGACTCGGTAATTCTCTTCTACAAAACTAGGGGGGAAATTCCCAAGGATTTATGTCTATTCTTTGTAATTTATACTAGCAAAACATCCCAAACATCTGCCAAGAGAAAGAACTTAAAATATGATAGTTATGAGATGTTAAGCAGATATTAAAATATTTTTTCCAAGAATATTAAATGACTTGTGAATGTTTGAGCTAAAATTAAGAAAATACTGTATGATCCCTGTTTCAGGAAAAACACACATATATGCTTTAAAAGTGTTAGACAAAAATACAAACTTTTATTTATTTGCACTCTCTAGTTTTCAACTTATTTTACAATAAGACCCAACAAAATAATTGTTATTAAAAAGGCACATATTACCAAACAAAATTAAAATGTGTAAGTCGATATGACAGACTTTGCCTGGATTAAGAAGAATTTCACATTTAAAAAACAAAAAAACTTCAGAAAGGCAGGATTAGTAATGACAGTCTATGCAGATTAAACCATGAGGAAATAGTGGCAGACCCTAACACTGAGTAAGTGGAAAACGAGGGAGAATTAAGGATAAGAGTTACAACAGATTTTTTTTTAAATGAAGTTTAACCTATTTCATAATTTTTGTTTCTATTCCTCCAAATGCTGACTTTTAAAAAGCTGGCTGGCTGTTTAAAAAAAAAACAATTTTTGTTATAAAGCCATTATTACTTGGCAATTTCAGTATTTGTAGTATCGGTAAAGATTACAAACCCACACAGGCATTTGATCTTCACAACAATCTCTTGGGAGAGCAATCATATTATGAAAGGATTTACAAGAGGAAACAGAGATGAGAAAGGTTGTAACTTGCCCAAGGAAATGGCTAGTTTTAGAAGTGGAAAGGGTAGAAACTACTCACTGCTACGCCTCTTTCTCAAACAATCTGCGTTCCATAACACCGGGTTTTTCTCCAAAATTGAATTATTACCAAGGCTGTTTTTTCCTAGTCAAAACACGCCCAGTATGCAGTATTCAAAAACATACTTCACTTAGGTTTTGTTGATAACTAATCTGTCCTACCCAGTATTTTAAAAAGATTTTGCTTTCTACTAACCCAAACTCAGCACGAAGTTTGAAGCAAAGGTTAAAGAAAGACGAAGAGCGTATCTCGAAAGCACATGACTGTTCCTAAGTTTGGAAAATCAACAGAATACGCTTCCCACAGTTGCGGGTGGGGGTATCTCCCTGAACTACTCCTTCGAAGGGCAGAGCAGGCAGGGAAAGAATTAAACACTAATTCTCCCATAGTAACATCTATCCAATGTCTGCTCTCTTGGCAGTAAAACCGACCTCTTCCTTTCCTGTGGTTTCTGAAACGACCAAAACATAAAGCCCTGTACTTCTTGCTACAAACACCACACTCAATTTTTCCAGGAACACCGGTCCTTTCCTCCACACACCCAGTGACACAAACTAGGAAACACCGTCCCTCAATAACCTGTAGATTCCGCTCCATCCCAAATAATCTTAAAGGTCAAACCAACATATGCCTAAAATAACGTACGAAATAAACTAAATAACAGTCACATCTAATATAGCTGTGCCTCTCAGCTCCCCCTAAACCAGCTACTACCACACCCGCAAGGAATGAGGCGCGGCCTCAGAGGCAATGGGCGGGCCCAAGAGACCACGTGTTCTTACTTCTGCGCACGCGCCAGCCAAAACAAAAGAGAGGCTTGTCAAGCCCCGCCCCTCCCACACGTGACCCGCCTCTAGGCCCGCCCCCACCCCGCCCTCCACCCCTATCTACCCTCCCTCCCTTCAGCTCCTGCCAAGGCTGTTAGGTTTAGCCGTTTAAATTTGGCTGTGGTCCGACCCCAGTCCTAGCGCACGATGTTGTGCCGGGGCCCAGAGCCTAACAGCCCAGAAGATTCGGGGGACGAGAGGCTGCCGATCGGGGGCCCAGCCCGCGAGTCCACCCAGCGGTC